AAATGAGAGTTTAGGTCTTGTAATAGTAATTTATTGAAGTCCACCCACGATTGATCTATAGAAGGTTGGATCTGTTACTATAGCAGAACCATTTGCTTGAAGTTTAAGACCTGAAACCATTGGTATTGGTTGTGATTTGGAGTCATTCATCTTGGCTATATGAAGAAGATCTCTAATATACTTTGCTTGTGAAAGAACGAGCCCTCAATTAGTGGCGTTACTTACTTCAATTCCCAAAAAATAGTGTAGAGGTCCAAGGTCTTTAAGCTTAAACACAAAATTTAGTTTAGTAACTAGAGAAACAACCTCAGATTTGGAGCTACTAGTGACTATTATATCATCCACATAGACCAAAACCAAAAGTGTGAATGTTGGAGTGATTTTAATGATTAAAGAAGTGTCACTCTTTGCTACTGTAAAACCCATTGTGATGAGAAAGTGACTGGGAGTTTGAAACCAAGATTGAGGAGTCTCCTTAAGGGCATAAATTGCTTTCTGCAACCTGCACACTTTCCCTTTTTCTCTTGAATCAAATCCAGGAGTTTGATTCATATACACAGTATTTTTAAGAGTACCATGAAGGAATGCTTTATTAATATCAATTTGATGCATATGCCATTGTTTTGAAAGAGCTAAAGTTAAGACAACTCTTACTGTTGTAGGTTTTACCACATGACTAAATGTGTCTGTAAAATCGAAACCCTCTATTTGATTATAGCCCTTGGCTACAAGACGTGCCTTGTGTTTTTGAAAACTACCATCTGCATTGTATTTGCTTTTAAAGACCCATTTACACCCTATTGCTTTAGATCCAGGAGGTAAATCCACAAGGGTCTAGGTATTGTTCTTGATTAAAGCTTCATATTCTTCTTTCCTAGCTTGACACCATTATGGTTTAGAAAGAAGTTCCTTCATTGTGTGTGGCTCAATTGTGCTATCATATATATCGTCTGCAACTATTGCAATATATATTTTTTGCTTAAAAATGCATGCCTTAGCACGAATTTTCATTGGATGAGCATTAGTCCAAGACTGCAGAATTGTAGAACCTGTATCAATAATAAAACTAGGAACAAGAACAATTGGATTAGTAGTATTTCCATCATCATTAGGAACATCTATAGTAACATTAGTGGTATTAACAAGATCACAATTTTCATGGGGATTATTGTTAGCAGTAGGAACTAGCACAGTAAGTTGAGGACTAGGATGAGAAGTATATATGTCTAAAATAGAAGGTGAAAGGAAAGGATTAGGAGAATGTTTATAAGGGAAAATGGATTCATTAAATTTGACATGTCTGGATATATAGCACTTGCTTGTAGGAGACAAACACTTGTATCCCTTGTGTTGATTGTTATACCCTAAGAAAAGACATTGGTGAGATTTGAAATCAAGTTTATGTTGATTATAAGGTCTAAGAAGGGGATAATAAGCACAACCGAAAGTTTTAAAAAAATTGTAGTAAGCGGGTTTATGAAAGAGAGTTTGGTAAGGACTTGTGTTTTTCAAGGAAGGTATTGGAAGGAGCTTAATGAGAGTTTTTGTAGTGAGAAAAGCTTCATCCCAAAAATGGAGAGGAAGAGAGGGATTGGCAAGTAAGGTTACGCCAGTTTCAATTATATGTCTATGTTTTCTTTCTGGTTTTCCATTTTGTTCATGTGTGTGAGGATAACACAACCTGTTTTGTATTCCATTTTCAGTGAGATATTCAGTAAATTTTAAGTATTCTTTTGCATTATTCGTTTGGATAACTTTTAATTTATAGCTTAATTGTAATTCAGCAGCAATTTTGAATTTATTGAAAGCATCAAAAGCTTGAGACCTTGTATGAAGAAGGAATATCCAAAAGTATTTTGAAAAGGCATCAATGAAAATTATGTAATATCTAGTACCAGAACTAGAGGACACGGGAGAAGGACCTCAAATATTAGTGAAAACAAGTTGTAAAGGTGTATTATATTCAGTTGTTGAATCTACAAAGGGCAGTTGTTGTGCTTTACTCATACAACAAGAATCACAGAGAAAAGAATCTGGAATTTGGTTACATGTGATATTGCTTTTATTTACAACTAATCGAACAATCCTAGGAGATGGGTGACCAAGCCTTGAGTGCCAAAGCTGGAAAAGTTGTTGTGAAGATCTTTGAGTTGGATGGGCAGAAATTGGTTGAAATATTTGTAGTTGAGGAAAAACATACAAGCCTCCTCTAAGCTGTTCTTGAAGGATTATTTCCTTAGTATCCTGTGTTTTTACATTACAATGGTGAGGGTAGAATTCGAAAAATACACCATTGTCAAAGGCAAACTTTGAGACACTAAGTAGATTTTTAGTTATAGAAGGCACGTGCAGTAGATTATTCAAAATAAAATGTTTTGATGATTTTGGATTATGAAAATAAGAATGGCCAACATGAGAAATTTGTAAACTTGTACCATTACCAATGTTCACTGAGTTTGCTCCTGTATAAGTATTTTTCATAGAAAGATTAGATTCATCGTGTGTGATGTGATGGGATGCACCTGAGTCAGGATACCATAGAGGATCCAACACTGTTGAGGGTGTGGCAAAAGAAAAAGACTCGGAGACTTCATTGCCACGATTTGTATATTGAGTGTTATTTGTCTGAGGTTGATTTTGATACTCTTGATTGTACCTATACCAGCAATCAAGAGCAATATGTCCAGTTTTTCCATAAATTTGACAAGGAACTTTACCTTGGTTTCATGAATTCTATCCTGTGGCATTCCAGTTGGATCTGCCATTGGCTCTACCATTAGAAAATCTACCTCTATTATTAAAGTTTCCACTTCTATTGTTAGATCTAACACCATGAAAACCACCTCTAAAATTAGAATCACTTTTTCCATGACCTTGATTTAAATTTTGCCATTGGGAAGGTCCAGAAATAGTATTTGCTTGAATCAGAACTGAATCAGAACGCTTTCTTTTCTCAATCCTTTCTTCTGAATCTCATCAACGGTATATGGGTTTAGTCTTGATATAACCGAAGTCACAAATCCATCAAAATCTTCTGGTAAACCATTTAAAATTGCATCAATGTGATCTTTCTCAAAGAGTACAGTACCTATAACTGCAAGAGAATCAACAATTTTCTTTATTTCTAAAAGATACTTATTTACCCTTTTTTCTTTCTTGATCATTTAAAGTTGAAGTTTGAGTTTCTTGTGTTAAGTCAGACGAAGCTTCACAATTCCCACCAATGTTTTGAATATGACAAATATAATACATATTATTATTACTAACATGTGCATTAGTGCTTCAGTCGGATAACGAAAAGTCTAAACAGTGGAACATGTTCAAGCATAATCTGGCTTGACAAAACATCAGACGATAGAAAGGTCAGCATCAAGACTAAGGTTGATTCAGGCTAAAATCAAGATACAGACTCTATCAGCAGAAGCCTGAGACACTGACATGAAGTGACCATCAGAAAGAACCAATATAAACTAGAACACGAAGTTATCACTTCCATACTTAGACAAAAAGGGTAGTCAGATCAGATGTAGTATCTTGTAACCAAACAATGTCAAGAATATTGGAGCACATCTGAAGTCCACTAATCACATTGAAAGAAATTATACAAGAAACACAATATGGCATTAATATGAATAAAAAAAATGGGCAAGCATGCATTCACAAGTCAAAGCTAAGTGCATCAGAGAAAGGACACTTACTTTTCAGAGAAAGACAACACCGTAGCAGCTAAACTGATGAGGAAAGTACAAATATACCTAGATAATGATTGAAGTCAGAAATCGAAGAAATCAACTACACAGAGAGACTCCACGAGTACAACAAAACATTTAATGCAAGATCAAATGCATTAAATAAAAAAGATATGCATGAACATGAACGAAGCTTCAATCTGTAACGACAAAAAGCTATGCTCCAACGGAAAAATTCAAATTCAAACAACGGGCAGATTTATCAAAAATGTATAAGTATCAAGGCCAAGAAGAAAAAAATGAGAATGAAGTAGTAAAGAAAACGTGCAACACGAAAAAGAAAGCAAAGAGCATAAACTATTTTCTTCTCAAAGTACTTCCTATATATCTGTGTAAAAACTATGATAGTCTATCTTAGTAAGTGTTGCTAATAGTTCATTCTCTCTACGAGAGTAAACAAAACTTAGACACTTATCCCTGTAAAACTAAGGCTACGCACCTTAGTGAGTGTAGAAACTACATTATCCTCTCTGAGAGAGTTGCAAACACACTCAAAACCCTCAATTGTTGTAAAGCCTGAAGAAGCTGGTAGAAAGAATACTTGGAGAACCAGAAGTGGTTTGAGAATACTAGCGTTAGTGAGTGAAGCTAACGGGCCAGATGTGGTCAAGAATACTTAGAGAACAAGAAGTGGTTAAGAATAATAGAGTAGAGTTGAAGAGCTAGAAGTGGTTGAGAATATTTGTAATCCTTTGTGATTAGAGGAACCCTTATGTGGAAGGAAACTGGACGTAGCTCAGATTGAGTGAACCAGTATAACTGTCTGTGCATTCTCCTTATTTTTAAACATTACTTACTTTTCTCTTCTTCTACTTCGTTTATAAACAAATCATTAGACAAAAACACACTTGACCCTTTTTGAAACTATTTTTAACAGAAGATAGATTCCTTCAGACGGAAAGCGAATTTACTAAACCTTTTATGTTGAAAATCAATTTTGCTAAACAAGAAAAATCACTAGACAGAAAAGACTGCTTAAGTTCTTCAACCAAAATTATCCTTGCGAAATAACTTAAGAAAGTCTTCCTTCAAACACGAACACACACATTCAAACCCCCCTTCTGTGTGTATTTCCGCTAATTTCAGTTGGTTTCAGAGCTTGACCCCTTGGGTTGAGCATTTAACACTGCAGGGGTAACGATCATAGAAAATGAAGGGCAAGCTGTAAACCGACCACCCCTCTTCAAAGGAGCAAAATATGACTACTGGAAGCAAAGAATGATTGCCTTCTTTGATGCATGTAATATAGACATGCGGGACGTCGTTGAGCAAGGAAACTACATTCCGCTAGATCAAGCAGGAAACGAGAAACCCAGAGCACAATGGACTGAAGAGCCAAAACAAAGATTTATGCTGAACTCCAAAGCATGCAACGTGCTCATGTGTGCTCTGTCCGAGGAAGAATACAATCAAGTTCACAGCTTTAGAAGTGCCAAAAAGATGTGGGACACCCTAGCTCTGACGTACGAGGGGTCTCTAGAGGTAAAACACAACAAGCTAAGCTTGTTGGCACGTAAGTATGAACTTTTTGAAATGGAAGAAAGCGAATCTATACAGACTATGTTTGGAAGATTCCAAACCATTGTTAATGAGCTTTCCTTCCTAGGCAGAACTTATGATAACTTTGATCATATTGACAAATTACTTCGTAGTTCACCCAAGAAATGGAGACCACAAGTTACCGCTCTAAGAACATCCCAAAATCTGGAAAAGCTCTCTCTAGAGGAGCTCATTGGACTACTTAAAGTTCATGAGTTGGAGTTCTAACAAGACGATGCTGGGAGATAACAAAAGTCTATTACATTGAATGTACAAAAGACAAAATCAACATCATCCTCCTCAAAATCCCTAAGGTTCAATGATACGTCTGATGAAATCTGCAGTGAAGGAACCTGTGACATAGACGATGAAATATCCTTCCTATCAAGGAAGATCCATTCAATGATGAAGAAGAAGGGAGGAATACGATGGAGAAAATACAGCAGACCTCCCAGAGAAAAAGCACAGCCATTGTGCTATGAATGTAAGAAACCTGGACATTACAAAACTGAATGTCCGAAACTCGAAAAAGAAAAGGAGAAAGAAAAAGAGAAGAAGAAGTCAATCCCCTACAAAAAGAAGAAAGCCATGATGGCCACCTGGGAGGACCTCGACACAACATCTTCTAAAGGAGACGAAGAAGCAAACATCTGTCTCATGGCAGACACAGACTCATCATCAGAATCTGATAATGAAGAGGTAACTGAATCTGACCTTAAAATTCTTGAACATGCATACAATCAACTTCTATCAGATTCAACAAAGATCTCTACAGCATATAAAGATCAAAAGAAAATAATTTTGGAATTACTTGAAGAAAATTGCCTATTGGAAAATGAAAATGCGAAAATTCTTTCAACTTCAGAAGAAGTATCAAACTTACCAAAGAAAATGATTTATTAAAATCAATTTGTCAAAATTCACACTAGAAACTAAAAATCTTGAGCATCTTCTAAAACATTCTAGAAGTGGGAAAGATAGAACAGGACAAGGATTTGTTAAATTAGAATCAGAAATCAAAATAGGAACATATGCATCTTCCTTGTATGGAAAGAATGGACATTTTACGTCCAAGTGGAGTCACATGCATAAGAAGAGGGATTCCAAAACCTCCAGTGCTAACACTCATGGACCCAAATCTATTTGGGTACCAAAAACTGAAATAGTACCTGTTGCAGATTTGTTTAACAAAAACAAAAGGTATCCAATCATGGTACCTGGATAGTGGCTTCTCGTGACACATGACAGGCGAAAGGTCTATGTTCCTAGACCTCAAGTCCAGGAAAGGAGGGCAAATCACATTTGGAGGATGACAGAAAGGATATATCATGGGGATAGGTAAAATAGGTATCAACTCCTCTTCTTCCATCGATAATGTTCTGTATGTTAAGGGATTAACACATAATATACTAAGCATAAGTTAATTGTGTGATAGTGGTTATGAAGTATCCTTCAATAAAAATAAATGTACTGTTAGTCAACCTGATTCATCCATATTATTTACAGCTAACAGATGCAACAATCTATATAAAATAATGCTTAACGAACTAGAAAATCAAAATGTTGATTGTCCAGTCTCATATGAAAATCAGTGGATCTGGCACAAGAAACTTGGTCATGCAAGTCAAAGATTAATCTCAAAATTGAAAAAGCATAATCTCGTAAGAGGACTACCAAATCTTGTGCATCAGACGAATGGTATATGTGAAGCATGTCAAAAGGGGAAACAAGTTAAAAGTTTATTTCAAAGTAAAAATTTCGTTTCCACATCAAGACCTCTTGAACTGCTCCACATAGATCTATTCAGTCCCACTAGAACAGCATCTGTAAGTGGTAAAAGATATGGATTAGTCATGGTGGGTGACTACACTAGATGGACATGGGTAGTGTTCATAACTCACAAGGATGAGTCTTTTAGGGTATTCCATGTATTCTGTAAAAGAGTTCAAAATGAAAAAGGAACATCAATTACGTCTATCAGAAGTGATCATAGGGGAGAATTTGAAAATGAACAATTTCAAGAATTTTGTGAAGAAAATGGAATAAAACATAATTTTTCAACATCTAGAACTCCACAACAAAATAGGGTTGTAGAAAGAAAGAATCGTTCTTTACAAGAAATGGCAAGAACTTTACTAGACGACTTCTCCACCCCTAAACATTTATGGGCCGAAGCAATTAATACTTCCTGTTATATTCAAAACATAATATATATTAGGCCCTTACTGAAAACGACTCCTTATGAATTGTGGAAGGGACGAGCACCCAACATATATTTTCATCCATTTGGATGTAAATGTTTTATTCTGAATACAAAAGATAATTTAGGAAATTTGACTCAAAAACGGACGAAGGTATCCTACTTGGATACTCTGAGAGGTCAAGAGCCTATAGGGTGTTCAACAACAAAACTAAAATTGTTGAGGAAGCCATTCACGTTAGATTTGATGAACACAAGCCTGATAAAGAAAGATCAGAGCTAGGCAATTTCTTTGAGAATATGCAGGTAAACAATGATCAGACAAAAAAGCCTGAGTCTGAAGAAATAGTGACTCAACAAGATGAAAGAGAGGATAGAGAACCAGTCAACTACAACTGGCAGATGAAGGCTCATCATCCGCAAGAAAAAATCATTGGAGAAGCAAAGGATGCAGTAAGAACTAGAAGTTCATTCAGAACTCAAGCACAAATTGCTTTGCTATCCCAAACAGAGCCAAAAACCACAGACGAAGCATTGTCAGACGAAAGTTGGGTTCAGGCCATGCAAGAAGAATTGAGTCAATTCCAGAAGAGTGATGTCTAGAAACTCGTTCCAATGCCTAAAGACAAGACGATCATAGGAACAATGTGGGTATATAAAAATAAATTGGATGAATCTGGAAACGTGGTAAGAAACAAAGCAAGGTTAAATGCAAAAGGGTACTCTCAACAGGAAGGTATAGACTTTACTAAAACTTTTGCACCTGTTGCTCGAATAGAAGCCATTAGAATCTTACCTGCTTTTGCTGCATGTACTGGCATGAAATTATATCAGATGGATGTCAAAAGTGCATTTTTAAACAGAACAATTCAGAAGAAGTTTACGTATGTCAACCTCCTGGTTTTGAAAATGAATTACTATCATCTCATTTTTTCAAACTAAACAAAGATTTGCATGGATTAAAACAAGCACCGCGTGCATGGTATGAGAAACTAAGCACCTTTCTAACTGATAATAACTTCATAAGAGGCAAAATTGACAGCACCTTATCTAGGAAAGTAATCAAGGATGATTTCATAATAGTCTAAATCTACGTAGATGATATAATATTTGGTGCTACTAATTAAAATCTATGCCAAGAATTTTTCATGCTTATGCAAGATGAATTTGAAATGAGCATGATGGGAGAACTGAAGTTCTTTCTATGACCCTAAATCTTTTAGTCAGACGAAGGAATCAAAATTCATCAAAAGAAATATACAAAAGAACTTTTGCAAAAGTTCAAGATGGAAGATGCAAAACCAATAAAGACACCAATGCATCCTTCAACGACTCTTGGTCTAGACAAAGAATCACCAGATGTTGATAGCACAATGTATCGAGGAATGGTTGGTTCTCTCTTGTACCTAACAGCATCAAGACCCGACATCATATTCAGCGTCTGCGTCTGTGCTAGGTATCAAGTACGACCTAAGGAGGTACACTTACAAGCGGTTAAAATAATTTTAAATATCTTAAAGGAACACCTAACCTAGGAATCAGCTTCTTTAGAAGCCATAACTTTTCTCTACTAGGATACTGTGATGCAGATTATGCAGGGGATAAATGGGAGAGAAAAAGCACTAGCAAAGGATGTCATTTCCTTGGTCGCTGCTTGGTTTCATGGACTAGCAAGAGACAAAGCACGATTGCCTTATCAACTTGTGAAGCTAAGTATGTTATCACAGGACAATGTCTTACGCAGTTGCTCTAGATCAAACATCAACTAGAAGACTATGACATTTACGAAAGTAGCATTCCTGTACTCTGTGATAACACTGCTACAATTAACATTTCCAAACACCCTGTCTTGCATTCTAGCACTAAGCATGTAGAGATTAAACATCATTTCATTAGAGATCATGTGCAAAAAGGAACATTTGAATTGTTTTATGTTAAGATTGAAGAACAACTTGTTGATATCTTCACCAAACCCCTTCAAGAAGATAGATATGTTTGGCTGAGAGATAGGCTAGGAATGGAATTGATAGATGATCACTAGAATGTCATTCTCACCCTCTATTTCCTTTTGCTGATTACAAAGGGGGAGAGAAAGAATACATACAAAATCTATCAAACTAAATCGATCACCCAGTAAGGGGGAGAGCATTAACTTAGGGGGAGGAACTTCATAATATTTGCTCTGTGTCTGATACAAAATTCCTGATGTGTATAAACATGTATGAACTTGCTAGATTATATTTGTCATCATCAAAAAGGGGGAGATTGTTAAGTCAAACGAAGCGCATTCGCAATTCCCACCAATATTTTGAATATGACAAATATAATACATATTTTTATTACTAACATGTGCATTAGTGTTTCAGTCGGATAACAAAAACTCTAAACAGTGGAATATGTTCAAGCATAATCTGGCTTGACAAAACATCAGACGATAGAAAGGCCAGCATCAAGACTAAGGTTTATTGATTCAGGCTAAAATCAATATACAAAGTCTATCAACAGAAACCTGAGGCATTGACATGAAGTGACCATCAGAAAGAACCAATATAAACTAGAAGACGAAGTTATCACTTCCATACTCAGACAAAAAGGGTAGTCAGATCAGACATAGTATCTTGTAACCAGACAATGTCAAGAATATTGGAGCACGGTTGAAGTCCACTAATCACATTGAAAGAAATTATACAAGAAACACAAGAAGACATCAATGTGAATAAAAAACATGGGCAAGCATGCATTCACAAGTCAAAGCTAAGTGCGACAGAGAAAGGACACTACTTTTTAGAAAAAGACAGCACCGTAGCAACTAAACTGATGAGGAAAGTACAAATATACCTAGATCATGATTGAAGTCAGAAATCGAAGAAATCAACTAGACAGAGAGACTCCACGAATACAAGCAAACATTTAATGCAAGATCAAATGCATTAAATAAGAAGATATGCATGAACATGAACGAAGCTTCCACCTGCAACGACAAAAAGCTATGCTCCAATGGAAAAATTCAAATTCAAACAATGGGAAA